CTTAGCACAAAAATATCTGCGTAGGTACATTTACATGTGGCCTGCACAGGGAACACGGCGCAATATGTCATGTTGACAGTAGTTGCTGGTTTAATTTAGAAAAATACATATATTAGGAAAAACAAATATGCACACAGAAAGACTACCCGTTAAACACATAAAAGCTCCCTGTTCGAGCGAAAATCATAGTCGTTCGAGGGGGGCTTTTTACAGCAGTATTTAGGAAAAACAAGTATACGTGCAGAAAGGCTACAGCAGTATGCAATAACCGACATACGTTAGTTTATCTATTTACTACAAAGTACTGTTTATTACAGCAGTAGTTGTTGTACCTATTTGAAAAAACAAATATACACTAGTCTAATTATTTATTTTATTTTATTTTATTTGTTTCTGATTATATTTTGTTTTCTTGTATTTTATCGCTCTGCTGACCCTTGGGGTCCATTTTATTTTGGTATACCTTTTCTAGGTAGGTTAGCCTGTTCCAAAGATGGGTTCAACGCTCTACTTAGCACAACAAAGTAAATTGTAATGCACGTATGAAAATAATAAGAGGAAAATCGATCTCCTCCACAAGACAAGACGGTTCGACCCTCAAAATCAAACGCACCAATGCAAAACGTAGCGCCGAGAGGAGCACACGAACGTGTGAAAATACAAAGAGGACAACACTCCTCACAAGACAAGACGGTTCAGCACGCAAATCAAAACAACAATACAGCAGTATGTAGCGCTAAAATAAGCACACATGAACTTGCGGAAATACAAAGCGGAAAGCAATCTCCACAAGACGGTTCAGCCAATCAAAACGACACACACAGCAAGACGTAGTGCGAGGATTAAATGACAGGAGATATCGTGCCGTAGATCAACCCTACAGTAGGCACACCCGTCGTGTGCCCGCCCGAGCTACCTTTCGCCGCATTCCTATCGACTAGAAACCCACGTCACCTCAGCAACAACCGGACGGCGAGCAAAAGCAGTCCGCGTTATCTGAGGATCCGGCATGGCACTCGATTCCAACACTCCGCAAGGCCAGCTACAAGAGCGGGACAACATATCGGGCTCCATCTCGTCCAAATGCAGGACAAGTTATTCTACTAATCCTGAGAAACGCCCAAGCCATGTGTATGACGACCATCGAAGAAGCGAGTGTCTCGCTTCCTTTCCGCCGTCGCTGTTCTATCAATATTGGCTTGTATGCTAGCTCCGTGCGTTATCGGGGTAAAGGAAAAATCTGGGCAAGAGACATGCAGCGGGAGGAAACCTCAGAAAAATAGCAGCCGCATGCGGTAGGAGGGACTCGCTTCGCACCACCTACAGCATTGCAGCATTATAGCATCATCTACCGCTTCACGCCATCGGGCATCGCCACCACCACCACTTTCAGGAAGAGCCAGCGTGTCGCGCTCCTCCGTCTGTTTCACAATCGTATTAAAAAAGCAGGTCGTTTCGGCTTCGGCCTCCGAAATCGAAGCAGCGCACCAATTAAACTCCTTCGCAACTACTGCTGTAGCTCTACTGGTCGTCACAAATACGGTCGTTGCAGAAACAGGCCGTGTTGATCGGAGGCACCGCAAGGCTCTCTTCCATACCCCCGAACCACCGTTCCCACACGGCATTGCCCCGATCGAGGTTGCCCGGAATATCCTGCTCGAACTCTTCCTTCGGCATGGAACTGCAACGGGCGAAGTAGCAGCGAACAAAAAAGCAGGACATGGGGAGCGGGGGTAAGTGGTCTGCACAGCGCGAAGGGCGCGGCAAGAAACAACGCGGAAACGAAAAAAAAAGGCAAGGGAAAGGTATGCGGTCTAAAGCACCGTGCGTGTGATGGTGCTGTGAAAAACAAGTACTTCCTTTTCGAACTTTTATCATGCGGTAGATATATACCAACGTGTGGTATTCACGTCCCGGCGCGATAGGAGCAAAACAACCACTTCTCTCCCTGTTGTTGCACGCACCCCGCGCGCAAACTCGACACCCCCCAGCGGGCGGACCTTGTTGTACGTCCCAGTATCATAGCGCTCCATACTACTACATGGTACTTCTATAAGATCACTGATACAGGTTACGCCCCAAAGGCCCAGTTACCTTCGGAAGATGTGTAGGCGGCCGCCATATATTCCCCATTTCGAGGGATTCCCAAACGGCCCTAGGGTAGTGGACGTCCAAACTGGCTCATTCGCGATGCCTGGAACATCGAGGCACGACCATTTGTTCACGACAAGCACACAACAACAGGACCCACGTCATTGATTGCGTGGCAAAGCATTTATTTGCCGAAGGAGTGAAAAAAGGCGCGTGGCACCCACACGGGAGATTTGTTACCTGCGTCCCGACAGAGACGTCGCGTGCAATATGCCATACTAGGGATGCGCAACGGAAAAAATAATTCCTGGCATCCACGGGGTCTGCTGCTATCTTCTCGTTAGCCGACATCCTCGTGTCGTATCTACGAGTTGGCGTGTTTTTTCTTGCCTGTCCACTGCACTGCTGCCCGGGGCTGCTGGCTTCCAGCGTGCGCTACGGTAGATGTACGTACGCTGCCATATTTTCTCCCTGAACACAGCAACGTTTGGCGTGTTTGAGCAAGCCCCCCGCACCCTAGAGCTTACCGTAGGAGCAGAAGCCTCCCCATGCTGGGGCATACTTGAGCTTGTCATTCTGACAGAAATGGAGGGTGCGATTGATGAGGGGGGCGGGGAGCGGGGCGTAAGTTGTTGTTGTTTCTCACAATAGCTCTATGGTCCATAAAAATGTGGCGACCACGGCGTAAGTATTACCAGCTGACGTTTGTAATATATGATTTGCAGAAATAAAGTTACCGCATGTACTGAAGCACCACGGTTGATTGTGTAGACCTTACATGCGCGCTGGTGCCGTCGTACGTAGGATATGACAAAATCGACTATGCAGCAACGCACGTACCGCGAGTGGGGGGTGCAGAAAATCACCAGAAAAAAGTGGTGGCAGAGCAGCAAGAGAGCAGCTACATCCAGGACCCTACTTTCTAAGCGAGTAACGTCCTTTTGATCCGAACGGGACACACACGTCACAGGGCAAGCCAATAAAAACCAGATGCTCACCACGTTTGTCGTGGCCAGCGTCTAAGAAGGAGCGAGAGAAGGGAGGGTGCGGGGGATTCACCGTGATATGTTTCAAGATGCAACATCCGCAAAATCCTAAATAGCTAGATACAAGTTGACTAGGCCTAACCCTGCTGAACGAAGTGAAAAGCCTCTTGCCTCAAACACCCGGAGGTTTTCGACCGACGAAAAGAAGAACCGGTAGTTTCCGAACACCGACATCAGGTTGGGACTCCCCAAGACTGCTTCTGCTGCAAGGGGCAAGCTCCAATACTCTACGACATCCACGCCACCCAGAACGGGCAGGTCGAATTGTCCTGCGCATTCCGCTGAGCAATAAAAGATAGATGCGGGGTCCGGGGTGGTTGGTTGGTTAGCTGCTCGTCCGAAACAATCGACCGGCATAAGAGCAGGTCACACCATGAGCGTTTCTGCGGGGGGGGGGGGGGGGGGG